AGACTCACCAGAGGTGGGTGTTTCAGGTGACTCATTCTCTGGAGTAGTGGCTTTGTTGTGGCTTCTACTGGAGACATGCCAGGTATGGGTCAGGGTGAACAGGTTATCTCCAGCTGGGTCCTTTTCCTGGCAGTCATCACCACTCTGCTCTCCTCAGCCCCTGATCTTGAAGTGTTCTCACAGACCTGCTGAGATGATAGGGGCCATCAACCCTGACCTCCTGTGCTCCACAGGATACTGGAGAGCACCCTGCTGCCCCCAGAGCATGACCCAAGTTGATACTGTACACCTCTTGGAAAGGCAACCCTCAAACAGGCTGGAAAGCCCAGAGTTCCTTGGAGAACTGTTGAGGTGATGAGTTGGCCTGACTTAAACAAGTGTGCCCTAATTCCATTTCAATGTCTTCTGGCTTCAGCTTCCAGATCCTGGGTTTTGTGATGGCTTTGCTCTCCCATTTAAAGAGGCTTTCAAAAGCTGGCATCCAAATTCAATACATGATCAATGAACAAGATTGCTGGCAAGGAAATTTTTGTAAGCATTTTCTTTATATTTCCTAAAGCACCACTCCAAAGGGAAGTTATGCAGTTGCTACAGTCATCTCACCTTGAAACTTCTCAGATGCTTGGGCTTATCTACAAAGTAAAATACCATCCAGCATATTAGTGCGCTCTAATGGGGATTTCTGCACAAAAACTGCCCTGTTCCCCCTTTTTTGTATTACCTATAAGCAACAAATCCACCTCAGAAGCCAAATAATCTGTCTTGACTTTAATTATTTTAATAGTTTTATGATCATAATTTATTCAGTGTTTGATGAGAGGGATATGGCTGTAGTTATATGCTCTTTGTGAGGCAATATGAAGAGCTGAGGCACCACAGTTTGATGAGTAGTGACAGACATTGATTCTTTAATTTGAAAACTGCAAGGTTATTCTTCTTTTTCACTCACACACAAAAAAAAACCTTTTGAGCATTCCAGACCTTGTCATATTTATATTTTCTTACAGCTACTGATCCCATCTAAAAAGGAGCAATAAAGTGTCCTGAACAGGATTTCTTTGAACCGTTTCCATTAATTCAGTAGCTCCTCACCTTTAAGGACCTGACCATGTGATGAATAAACAGCAGTTATTTTCAGAATAATGAGTTTTCTTTTACCTACTGTGGTCACCAGAAATGGCCTTTCCTTCCAGGGAATTTTCAATTCTCTTATATTTAGCTGAAAATAAAACTATTAGGTAGACATGAGACAGAGAGCTTTGAATATCAGTTCTGTGATCAGCTGTTAAAGCAGTTCTACAGAGGGATCTGGACAGGCTGGATTGATGGGCTGAGGCCAACTGTATGAGGTTCAACAAGGCCAAGTGTCAGGTCCTGCACTTGGGTCACGTCAACCTCAGGCAGTGCTACAGGCTGGGGAAAGCTGCCCAGAGGGAAAAGAGCTAGGGGTGTTGGTCAACAGCAGCTGAACATGAGCCAACACTGCCCAGGTGGCCAAGAAGGCCAATGGCACCATGGACCGTATCAGCAATGGTGTGGCCAGCAGGAACAGGGCTGTGATTGTCCCCCTGTACTTGACACTGGTGAGGCTGCTCCTCAAATCCTGTGTTCAGTTTTGGGCCCCTCACTACAAGAAAGACATTGAGGTGCTGGAGCAAGTCCAGGGAAGGGCAGTAATGCTGGTGAAAGGTCTGGAGCACAGGTCTGATGAGGAGCAGCTGAGGGAACTGGGGTTGTTCATCCTGGAGGAGTCTCAGGGGGGACCTTATCACTCTCTACAACTACTTGAAAGGAGGTTGTAGCAGAGTGGGGGTTGGTCTCTTCTCACAGGGAAAAGATGAAATGGTCTCAAGTTGCACCGGGGGAGGTTTAGATTGGATATGAGGGAAAATTTCTTCACTGCAAGGGTGATCAAACATTGAAACAGGCTGCCCAGGGAAGTGGTCACTATCGCTGGATATGTTCAAAAAGCATGTGGATGTGGCATTAGAGGACACAATTTAGTGGTTGACTTGGCAGTGCTGGGTTAACAGTTGGACCTGATGATCTCAGAGGTCTCTCCCAGCCTAAACGATTCTATGATTCTATAATTTCAGCTGTGTTCAATCACTGCTTTCCTATCTGGTGAAGTGTTTGACAGTTCATTTTCTTATCAGCAAAGCCCATATACTGTGCTCATGCTTCTTAATAAAAAACACAGGGAAAGTCCCCAAGCTGTCAGATGGTCTATTAACTTAAATACAGTCCACATCTTTGCTCTCATCCCATTGCCTACTTTCATTTGCTCTCAATTGGAAAAATCAGGTCTAGCTACCCATGACCTTGCAAAGTGCCAGTCATCTGGACTTGTCAGATTTTGCTGAAATGCTTCTTTAAATAAGGAATTTTATCATGGTTTCAGTGTCAGCATCTGTACTTGATTTTAAAAATATGTTTCCTTTAAAAAAGCATCTTTGAAGCTGTGGTCTATTTTTTCTCTGTAGTAATTGCGGCAACCTGATTCGGTTCAATTCCTTTGTGTTTTGGGTAACTGTGTGGTACAGCAAATTGTCCTGGTGTCCATCAGGATTTATTGCATATATCGATGCAGTCAATGTTTCAAATCATTTGAAAGAGACTATATTTTTGTTGCTTAAAAAAAAAAAATACATCTCTGTGTTTCTAAGAGGGAAAAGTAATTCTATTTTCCCAACACAGTAAAGCAGCAGGTCTATACCTTGCCTAGGCACAGTCCTTCCTCTCAGTATTACATAGGCTAAATATAAATTTTATCACAAAAGGGAGGACAAAATAATAGACTGTGTTCAGCGCTAATCACTTTTGTTATATCCCATAACTTTTCTAGCCTCAAGACATTAATGGTAGAGAACGAATGGTATAATCCCAAAGGTTGCTAACCTGTCTGCCCTTCCCCAGCTACTCTTGGTTATCTATGGTTATCCTTTGGCAAGTCATTGACACTTGCTTCTGGGGATTTTCTAATTCTGTTGAAAATGCTAATACTATGTTAATCTGGTATGCAGTCTCTGTCCTTTCCAAACCATCTCAATGCTTGTATGGTGTTACAATGGCAAAGTACAGAAAGTACATTGTAAAAAAAAAAAAGGATTGTTGAGTAACAGTATGATCTGCTAGTTAGGGGACCTGTTATTTAAGGCAGAAGTGTGGGTGTTTCAGTGGTTGAGGTGCTAAAGATACCTAGGTCCCACTTCCCATTTGTCCAGTGACTTTGGCAGGTCATACACTTAACAAATGTCTCTCCATCTTTTGAACAAGAAAGAGAAATCTAGCTGATCTAGCAGTCACTTGGCCAAGCTAGCATGAGTCACATCAGCCTGCCAAGAGGTGAGACATGCTAGCTCTAGTACCTTACCAGTGCATGGTTTCTGGACTAAAGGGCTTGAGGTCACACTGAGCTGAACCTACCCACCAGCTTACCGCCAGCTGTGGAGCTGTAGCCTTACTATCTCCATGTCCTGCTCCCCATCAGTAAATAAATGATTTCAAAATGGAAAGGACCTGGAAATGCCACTGGCAGTTTTTCTACTGATGTGTTGCAGAGCCTCAAGCAAATCAGTTTTGGATTCTCCATCTATGCAAGTTTGATAATTATGCATATCTTTCTGGGCAATGTGCTGTGAGATTTGGGAAGAAAAATGCTGTAGGAGATTTAGGGTGTTCTTAATCTTAACTCATTCATTGTGCCTAATCCAAACTAGTATTTAAGCTTCAGGATTGAAATTATAAATTAATATCTCTTTTGTTAAACTACTGTAGGCCATGAACAGCAAACTAATGAAACAAAACAGATTTTCTCCCCTCAACCTATGCCCCCATGCTAGTGTGGGTATGATCTCCTACACAGCAACTCAGCCTCCAGTGGTGGGCTCACAGAGCATGCCCCTGCAAACCACCATCCTCCTCAGCTTTTCCAGTCCATGGTTTACGTACACTACCACAGAAGATTAGACAGGATGCAACATTATGGCTCTTATGCACATATTCACAAGATTATTTTCAGGGAATCATAGGTTCATATAATAATACAGGTTGGAAAGCATGTCTGAGGGTCATCTAGCCCAATCGCCAATTAAAAGCAGGGAGAATTTCCAAGCTAGATGAGGTTGCTCGGAGTCTCATCCTGTTAATTCTGTCTTCAAGGTTTCTACAGCCTCTCTAGACAACCTGCTCCAATGTTTTAAACACTCAGTCTTTTCTTCCTTATAATCAAATAGGATTTTTTTGGTTGCAACTTGTGCCTCTTTCTCATTTTTCTCTTTTTTTTTTGTGACCTACAACCCCCTTTCTTAGGGGTCTCTATCTTGCCTATCTGGAATTTTTTCAGAAGCCTCTTGTATGATGTATACTTACCTAGGAAATAATTTTGTTTACTTGTTTGTTTAAGATTATTCACAGTAAATTCTTCAGAAATCATTTAGGTTGAGGCAGAGATTTTTAATATAAGCCAGCAGAAGTCAGATTCCACAGAAACTCGTTGAGATCTGGCACGTATTTTGTGCAAGCTCCCTCATCTCCTTTTGTCTTCCACAAATATTTCATTTTTGAGCCAATTCTAACGATATGTGCTTCAGACATTTCAAATTGCACAAAAAAAAGTTACTTGTTCTTTAGAGGAGAAATATTATACAACGGAGGGAAGGGGCAGAGCAACTCAAATATGTATGGGACAGCAAAGATGAGCCAAAGGAAATGTGCTTGATAATTCACATGCAAAGGAGCAACTCTGGATATGGTTAGGAGACTGCGTGATGTAAAGATACCTGATGTAGAAAATAATCCAGTCTGTCAAAGGTCCAGGACAAACAGTACAGGAAGATGTCAAAGAGTGCAAAGAAAAATCTGGAAGTAAAACAAAAATGTATCCAAATTAATGCTGGTCAGGGCCATTAAGGACTGTTGGTGCCCTCAGGGCCCCAACACTCTTATCCTCAGATCTCCACAGTGTTTTCTAATCAATGCATTTCTGTTGATCCTCCCAGGTGCTGAAATTCATCCCTGAGGCTGGGCATACCAGAAGAAAAGGCAGAATCAGGAACAACATGGCCTTAGTTGATATACAGCTGGATCACCATGAGCGTTGTGATTGTATCTGCAGTTCAAGACCACCCCGATAAAAAAAAAAAGGAGGAAAAAAAAAGAAAGAAAGAGAGGAAGAAAGAAACAACAAAAAAAACCCCAAGACACATTAATTGCATTTTACTGGATGTTTACTTTTAAGCAGGATTGGTCTGAGGACCTTTACTCGCTAATCATTTGAAATTTGTTATTAGCCTGCCTTTGCAGTTAGCAAACATGATCTCTCTGTTTCAGCATAGCTGTGCTGATTAGTCCCATGGCAACTAAACAGGTATATCATAGATTTATATATCAGCATCCAAGAATATAAGATTATGGTTATCTGTAGCTAGATTCTGAGGGTTGAGATTTTAAAAGCTCACTTGCAGTCCTTAGGCACACAACGCGCACTGAAATTAAACATCAGGTACATAGGTATTTGTAGCTGGCAATAAATCATAGAATCATAGAATCAGCTGGGTTGGAAAGGACCTCTCAGATCATCAGGTCTAACCCTTGATCCACTACCACCGCGGTTCCTAGACCATGGCACTAAGTGCCACATCCAGTCTCATCTTAAAAACCTCCAGGGACAGACAATCCACCACTTCCCTGAGCAGCCCATTCCAATGCCTGATTACCCCCTCTGTAAAGAATTTCTTCCTAGTATCTAACCTAAAACTCCCCTGGCACAGCTCAAGACCACGCCCTCTTGTCTTACTGATAGTTGCCTGGGAGAAGAGACCAACCCCCACCTGGCTACAACCTTCTTTCAGGTAGTAGGTTGAAATAGCTTTGTGTTTGCTTCTCACTCACCAGTCCCTACACTCAAATTCTCCTGCCATTTCTACCTCCTTAGCTCTCCTGGTAGTCAGTAGGGTTTTGTGGGTATAAACAAAGAGAGAATTTGAGCCTCTATGAGTGCAAAATGATTTGCCCCGCTCTCAGAGGAAACTTCCCAGCATTCTGGCCCAACAGAGTGAGACAGAATGCAGAAAATCCATCACTACATGAAATAACACACCAGTAAAGTCAAATCTCACTGTTTGTACTCGAGCAAATCATGTGATGAAATTAGTAGATGCTTTGCATAAGCCAGGACACTGATGGTGGTGGGGGAGTGTGGAGGTTGGTACTTTTCCCCTGGTGACTCCAGGTGACTCCATGGGAGCCATTGCCCGGGTGCTTCTGCAAGAGGGGGCTCCCACCCAGTCCCCAGGTGAATCCCTGTAGGCTGGGACTGATTCTGGTCACTACCTACCTGGTCTGGGCTCCTGCCCCTTGCCCAGAGTGGCCCACAGTTGCCCAGGAGGAGTCCCCTCTACGTAAAAAGGGAGAGACAGCCCTCCCCCTGTATCCTCTTCACAGCAGTTCGAGGAGATGGAGGAGATGAAGATAGGGCACTTGTTTGTTGAAAATATTGATTTGTTTTGCAGTTGTGTTACTTAGAAACAAAATTGTGTTTGAGATTTAATTATCATTATTTGGTTTGGGGTTGGCTTGTTTGTTTGTTTGTTTTAAATATGGATTATTATAACTTTGTCATATATGCATTAGTCTTAGTTATCTGAAGTTAGTTGTCTCATTCCAGCTCTGTGTATTGCCATGGTTAAACTGTTGACAGTTTCTTTTTGATTGTGTTTTTCTGAAGCACATTAACTCATTAAGCAATGTCTGTCTGTCATGGAAAATGCGCATAATTTGTTAATTTTCAGAAGAATATTATTAAACAGCACCTCATAATAGAATTAGCACTTTAAAAGTTACAGCATAACTTCCTGTGGCTTTTAAAATATTATGAAAGTGCTCTAATTGAAAAAGGAAAAAAAATCCTTCCAAACTAGCCTTAAGGATTTTTAAATGCTGCTCCAAAAGTGCAAAAATACAGGCAGATTTAAGTCTGGTGAAGAATTGGAGTTTTGATCACGAATGTAACAGAGGGAATAGGGTGGCACATTTAATGGCTGAGGTTTTATATTTAATAGTAGACATAGGCTGCATCGAATCGTCCGTGTTGCCTCATGTCTTTCTGTCTCTCTGAAAGAGTGAAGTAGTTTGACAATAGTGTGTTATAATTAGTAGAAAATGGCAAGTGCTATAAAGTAGTATAAGGCTTTCAAACCAGTATGTTTTAGCACGCTACAGGTTTGTTACAAAAGTGCTCTAATATTCTGACTTGCCCTCTTCATCAGCTCAAGTATTTTGTGATTTTTTTATAATTTTAGCAAAACTTTGCTGAAAGATCCCTTAGAAATGTTGTGTTACTTTCTTTCCTGTACTTTAGCTTTTGAGATTCAGAAAGTTTGGGGTTTTGTTATTTATATTAATTTTTCCTCTCTGGCTCCCAGATGTCTATTTAAAAATGCTCCTGAATGCTTACTTGGGAAGTGATTCATTACTTTTCAAAGCAATTCACATTAAGATAAAGTCCTGTAACCAAAGATTACCAGCTTTATTTTGTAGTTCAGGGCTATTTAAAGAACATCTCATACTTTTTCTGTCTCTAGCTTAATTACAAGATTGACCCAGCCCTTCCATAATTTTTAGCTAAGTTTGGAAGAAATTTGCATGCGAGACCTTGGCAGTACAGATTGTTTTTGAGACAGTTGTACTCCAATGTATATCCCTGGTTGAATTATGCCTAACTTCTAGTTAGCATTGGTCGTAGGAGACATCAGTTTCACAAGGCTTTGTGCTCTGGGTGGTCCTTAATTCACACCCCCAGGGAAAGCTGTGTAGCAGGCACCCACTGCGCCAGGAGCATCCCACACACCACTGCCTGCTCACCCAGTCCCACCCCAACAGCCACGTGTTGTGAGGGGTGTTTATGTCTCCTAATCTGGGGGATCCAGCCACATCTGGGAGCCTGAGTTACCCCTACAGGCATTTGGGAGACGCTCTCCCATAGTGTGCCTTAGCTCCAAGGCTGAAATAGCCCAGTGTGGAGTTTTCTTTCTCTTTTGACTGTATAGAAAGATTAGAAATCTGATGTGGACATAAGTGATACACAGAGGTAGTGTGAAAATTCCTTTTAAAGACTGAACAGTTGTTAGTTCAGCTAACTGAATTAGATAAAGGCAGCAGTGGATGCCAGGGTCCAGCAGAAAAATTCAGATAAAGGTAAAAAAATCCTCTTGCCTAATGATGGGTTTACTTTCTTGGATATAGGCTAAACTTGTCACAAAATTTAAAGTATTACTCCTGGGACACTTAGTAATGAAGGGAACCATTCAGTGCTTCAAGCTGCCATACAGACAGCATGCTCCCAGCCACTGCAGGAGGGTCAAAGATGGGCTTTGTTTCGCAGTGTGGGTGTGCTAACATACATGTGAACTAAGAAAAAGTCCCCAGGACCCTAGCCCTGAGCTTCAGTGACTCTGGTGAAACCAGCAAATTTTTTCCTTTTTATTTATTAGCAGAAATTACAGAGGTGTTTCTCCATACTTTTTTTCCCTCTTTTGTCCATGTAATAATTATGTTGTTTACATACTATTTTAACTTAAAGAGCAAAGCTATTAAGAAAACTAATCTGGTTCAATTTTATTGGTGGAATTGGAACCCTCCAAAATAAATATATTTTCAAAGGCCATTCAGAAAGAGTCCTAATTTCAAACCACTTGTTAGCTTTTTATTTACTATATTCTTCTGGGATAGAGTCTACTTTCTCAAGTGCAATCTATGTATATTTTTTTGTTATCTCAGTTAAATGCAGCTTTCCTAGCAGTACTTTTTACTTTATGCAGTATGTAATGTGTCTTATCTTGATGAAAAAAATAAATACTGCTTTTGAAAGAAGATACTCTGAGTGATTATTCATAATTCAGATGAGTCAAAACCTGTGATTTACTGAAAGATATTTCCACAACATGACACCATCCATACTACCCACAAGGTCTCCTTTTGAATTTTAGCAGTCATTCCCAGGAGCATCAGGGAAGGACCAAAGTGCAGTTTTGGGATAATGGAGTTTGAGCGCCCGAGCTGGCAGAGCTGACAACTTCCTTGTGAAGCAGCGGGACAGCATTTCTTATAACCGGATTAGGGTGCACACCCATTTTTGGTGCTGATCTCCAGCCCCTGCAGACTTGGCTTGGCTCCAGGAGAGATGTCCTCACTTGTCTTACTGTAGCTACTCCTTGCTGGCAAAGGAACCTGGTGCAGAAGATCTGCACCTCACCTGAGCAAGGGCAGAGCTAAGCATCCAATGTGTTCAGGGCAGCTGGAGGAAGCCAAAACCTCTTGAGGTGACCAAACATGAGCTGTGCTAGTGAGTGTGGGCATTTACCTCAGCTTTGCCAGAAGCAGATTTTGCTGTGTTACATCTAGAACATAACTTTCATAGCTTTGGTAACTAATTTTCAATTTAAGGTTCTAGTGTTAAGCTGAAGCTGCCACAGACCTTCATTGGGTCTTGTACTGAAAAAGGATATGAAATTTTTGCCAAATTAATTCTTCACTGGTTAGATCCCCTGTCTGATAAGGGAAATACAGCAATCTGGGGACCCAGGTTGGAGCCTGTCCCTATGCATGAGCACCTTTTTCTGTATGGTAATGCCACTGACCTGCAATAGTCAGCCGTTCAGCATATTTTTCACCTGTGGTTTGGTCCTTGTTACTCAGAGGAAAAATTAGTACAAATACTTTCCTTTGTCTTTTTTCCAAGGCAGTTAGAAGAGAAATTTTCTAACAAAGGAAGCAGTTATCTTGTGTACAGGGAACAGGAACATACTTAATGGGTGGAAGAGATATTTTTTGACCTTCAGAAATGCACTGAATACTGCATAGACAGCAGCTCAGCAATTGCAAAACGTTTAAGGATGACATAAAGCTCCTCTCAGCTGCCATTGCCATGTACCTCTACAATTAATGGCTACTTAACATCAGTTTGTCTTTGTGCTCACGTGAGTAAAAACTTCTATAAATCTGAAACATGGGAAGCAGCACTGCATCTCTTCCAGCTGTTAAAAGTGTGTGGTTCCCAAGGTCATTCAGAAACTCACCATTACCTTTTTCTAAAAATAATGGGGTTTTTAAACATTCATCTTCCCATTTGGAAGAACACAGAATCTTCCTCTAGATAATTTTAAGATCTGCAACAGCTGTAAAAATAGTT